ATAATTTTTACAATTAAAATTATAGTTTCTACGCAAAAACAAGCCAGCGAGCAGGAAGTCTGATTTTTAAGTATACAAAACTAAGTCTACCTTAGGCCCCACCCGGCAAAAAGACACTGAAGTTGGTGCAGAATCAGACTAAATTAACTGCTCTAATAAGAGTTTCAAATGTAAACAAATGATGGCTTCATTAGGCTTAGTAGCACTTAAAGAACTTTTAAATTGTTGATAATTCTACAGTTTTTGCATGCAGATTAACTAAAGGCATAAAAACAATATAATTCAATCCCTTTTAAAGCAAAAATTTCACAATTTACCAACATATAAGAATAAAAAATCTGAGATCACCGAGCCGGGTAACAGCGTATATAAATACTTGAATTTAATAAATATTCTCTCATTCATATAAAGATAATTTAAATTTTAAATTAGGACCATTAAATTGTATACTGTTACGAAATGTACAGGCGCGGTAAGATAGCTTCCCTGCAAAGCAGTTTTAGGGTTGCCAAAACATGGCAAGGGAAAGCAGAGTTGCCACATTTGTCGACAAATCGCCCAATTGGCGATAAAATCGGCGATATGCCATGGACGAATGGAGAACCTTCTGGAACGAATTCTTACCGGTTTAGCCCAGAATGTTCTCGAAAGTCAGCCGAAAGCTATATAAACCCTGCTGGTCCGCAGTCAGTTAGTGTGACTAAGTGCTTCATCGAGTGCGTGTTAGTGTGTCTCATCTAGTTCGTCCGTGCGGAGACGATCGAGTTGACAACCGGCCAGCGAGTGCCGAGTGGGTCGTCGAGTGCATCGAAGAGTCTCTTAGTACACCGTCGAGAGAGTGTGTTAAGATCTGTGAACGACTGAAACGAAGGGTCGGGAGCTGTATTCTGGGGCTTTGCAGTTAAGCTGTCTCCACCGTTATTGCCTGACAGTGTGAAGGCTGTGTCACTGATTGTTCCAGTGTGTTTATAGTAGATCTTCGATGACTGTAAAAGTGTTTTAGAGCTGTCCTCATTAATACCGGCCAATAAAGTGTGTTTCGAAACTTCATCAAGTAGTGTTGTCATTATTCACTCCAAATCTACGAACCTCGTACGAACGTGAAAGAAGAAAATAAAGTAACAACTAGTGTCAGAAAAAAAAACGTAACAACACAAATAAAAGATTAATTATTGCTGCGAATTAATTTGCAGTATTATTCAAATTTAGAAAGCATATGTAAATTAAATGCAAGTATCTAAAAACATGAAAAAATATTTACAATACAGTGAATTTTTTACAGAAGTAAAAATTCTTAAATATGTTTGGTGCCGCCGATTGCAAGCAAAAAAATGAGGTACATTGCCGATTGCAAGCAAAAAAATGAGGTACATGTTATTGCTATCCCATATGCAAAAGTTCAAAGCTGTGAGACTGTTCGTTTTTCAGTTATGCGAGATACGTACATACGTACGTGCGTACAGACGTCACGAAAGAAATCTCTTTTGAATCCATTTTTAAATCCATTTCACAATCCGTTTTGAGGGAAAAAGAGTTTCTTATTCTGTCCGTGGGTACAGATGTCCCGCAAATACACCGTTCAAATGGATATGATAGCTGCCAAAATGGATATTTTCTTTGAAATCTGATACTCGAAATTTTTCGCTTCCTTTACTTCGTATAAGGAAGTAAAATTCAGAAGAGTATTTAAAGCGTTAATAGAAATTTAAATGAATACAACAAACAAACAAACAAAACCCTCTGTTTATTAAGTATAAATATAGAAGGGGAAATAAAAAATAGCAGTAATTGTAAAGTTTTTTGCCATTTTTATACTTTAAAAATAATGCTTGTTAAGTAGCTCAGTTTTTGAAGTAATAAAAACTAATAAAACATTTCCGCATTGCTAATATTTTAAACTTATAGCTTGTATTCTGTACTTTTATTTTCTGTCATTTTGTACTATACATTAGAAATTTATCAAATTTGTATTTCAAGGGATTATGCGGAAAATATGGAGCAGTACCGTAATTCTGTAAGAATTTAAATTCGGAAACTTCTGCAGCCATCAGAGTAAAGTCCTCTTGTCCTTCTTTTAAACCAAATACATTATACAAAGTTCCCCATTTGTATTTCTCGTAAATCCAAACAAAAGTCTGCTTTCATTATGTGCTGATATTTTTTGTTTCTCTTCGTAAATAGAAATGAATAAAAAAAAATAGGAGCTCAGGGAAAACTTTTTTATATCTTCTCTCTTTCTTCAAATTTAACATTTACTGGAGAGTTTCATATTTTCAACATGAAAATAATTAGTTCTTTCTATGAAATGTTTAAAAAAAAAAAAATCTTTGGCCATTTTTTGATAAACAAGAAATTTTTCCATGACAATGAGGGGGGGGGAATTCCTTGGAAAAAAGAAAGTTTTATACATATACCAAATAATGACACAATTTTAAACCCGAAGTTAAACGAGCTTCAGTCTCAGTTTGGTATCTACGTTAAATAAAGGATTTTATATATAATCCTTTCAGAAGCAGCATGATGAAAGATAATTATGATCATCTCTCAAAATGAGTGAATCCCGTTTTGTGTCAGAGTTGAGATACATCTTTTACAGTAAGCATTTATAAAGTTTAACAAAAAATATTTACAATATAACGTAGTAACGTTTCTCGAAATGAGAGGAAATTGACAGTACTACTTTTCCAGCATAATTCTGATAACTACTGTATGTCATCTCGGTATTAGTTACGTGCAGACAAGTTTCACCACCATGAATCTTAACTCGGCCAAATTACAAAGTTTAGTAATTTTCTTTGGCATCATAAAGTGTAATCAAACTTTAAATAGACTGCCAGAGACTTATTGCTAAGTCTAAAGTAACAACTGATATTTGAGAAATGTGTAAAAGACCCTTTATTTAAAACTGAATAAAAACAGTCGGCCTGTTTTGTGCTTACAACACAGCCAACAACTTGTGGCGAAGTAACTTAAAGCAACAGTAAGTCAAACGTAAAATTGAATTTAAATAAGCTAGTAGCCAAAGGCTAGGCTACACAGATCAATTAACGAGAAGTTGGCTCAAAACTTAACCGGCGTGGATATTCAAATATAGACAACTATAATGCAATGCCGAAGACTGCAAATCTTACCTGATATAGAAACCTAGTTATGTGCCCCCCGGAGGCAGAACATACTCTGTCTTACAGTCTAAAACCTCATCTTAAACACAAGCGAACTAATTTGCATTCTAGCAGGAAAACGGAAGGGAGAAATGACAATAAGGATACAAAATATAACAAAACTGGTTAATTAATAACATCAAAGTTCTTTAAAACGTAAGAAGTATTTTCTCTTTCTCTAAATCCTTAAAGGTACACTAACCTGGGCTTTCTTTCATGCCCACAGTACATCATGCTGCGTGTGCGGTACTGTATTGGATATTAGGCAATCTTCTGATTGGCTCTTTTCGGATCCTACAGCTTATCTTAATTTTTGTAACCCTTCATTAAATGTTGGACACCAGCATGCAAATGTCTCTGAGAAGCTGAGTGGATGGAGCAATGATAGTTCAATTTATGAACAATGATAATTAAATTTAGGATATATTCCCGGTAAACAAGCCGCAGCTGCAAGTACGCTTTTGTGTTTCCCCCGTGAGTGACATGATACGAGTTTAGAAAATTCTCCAAGAAGGCATCTCTCACCTTAACTATTATGCTTTGGCGTACTTGGTGAAACGAAGAAATCATATGTTATGTAAATACCAGGCAGTTTCTTTCGGAATCTCCTTTCACAAAGTTCACTAAATTAAAAAACTTTCGAGCACATTGATATAAAGAATTGCGTACATTTATCATGAACGCAAAACTTCTGTGATATAAATTTACTTTGCAGTACTAAAGAAGAGCTTTTAAAACTTCTACATTAGTCCTATAAAATCATGATTTTCTAAATACGCCTCTCCGTTTGTAATTAATAATATTTATGATATTGCTTTAATTTCTTCTTTTAAAGCGTTGCATTTTTATGATACTCCAGCGTAAAGCACAAAATAATTTTTATGTAGAATTACATGACTAGCGCATGTTACATGTGCTAGCTAAGTATTAAACATATAGAAGCGCCTGAGAAACCGCAAAGAAAGTTTCTCGTCAAAAAAAAAAAAAGTATTTTAAAAATTAGATGGAATTTAATTTACTTAGCAATAAGAAACATGCTTAGTTGCAATTAAGCTTAAAATCTATGACTAACTAACTGTAACACCGGAATAGCTCATTCATAAATATTATGCGCCATTCAGTAGATAAGAACATAAGTAAAATTTAAATTAAAAAAAATCTTAATGACAAAAATCTTAATTAAAGTAGTGTGTAAGAATCTTAATTAAAAAAAAAAAAGAAAGAAAAAAGCAAATTAAACTAAGAAGAATTAATCCGTGTAAAACCAACTTTTTGAGTTTGATATTTATAAAAAAAAAAATGAATTGTCATAAATTAAAAATTTTAAGATTTTTTTTGCTTTAAAATAATACGGGTTCGAACAAGTTAAGCAGCATTACAATACTAAAAATTTTTTACACGCAGAATCGCTAATTAAGAAACTATGTTGCGTGCAATTTGGCAGAAATATAAAGCAATAGGTCAGTTTTCGAATCACAATGTTAGAATCAGGTTTGAAATGAAATTTACTTAAATATTATATTTTAAAAAAATTAGTTTGAAATACGTAATTTTAATGTGTAGTTTGGAAAGCCATCAATAGATGGCGCTACGAGTTAAAATTTAACATTGTAATCTTATTTCTGCAAAAATTCACGAAGTAATTGATTTTGATATCAGTTATAAATCATATTTTTTTCTAAATAATATTTAGAAGCGTTTCATATATTCCTTTATACACAGTTTTCACTAAACATTGTCAGCTGTCAGCAGAATGACGTTTACGGCAACCCTATTGCATTGCTATTCCGCACTCGTTTTGTTTACATTTATTTGTACTGTGGTCAGTTTGCAAAAAATATGCGAAAATATCAAGGACGACGACCGAAAAAACATCCTGGTTTTAATAAAAGATCCAGAATTCAGCGTAAACGTCGAGCTCAAGAAAAAAATATGAAATTAAATTCCCGAGATGTGGAAGATTCCGAACAAGCGGATGTTTTCGAAAGGTGAGAAATAATTTATTCTTTATATCGACTACCCCGTGTTTATGATTTCGTAGTAAGTTAATTCCGAAGTAAAATATGCGTATTTTTTTTTATTGAAGGTCAGAAATTATTGATACAACTGCATCTGTGTCAAAGGAGAATCATTGCCCGGATGATTTTTTTACAAAGTAAGTTTTTTTTTTTTTTTTTTTTTTTTTTTTTGTATGTGTGTGTATGAGGGGATGCTAATAATTGTTCAATTCTGTTATAAGAATTTATTCCTCCATTCACACTAAATTGTTGGGAAATATTGAAAGGGTAAATTCCAATTCACAAGGAATTGCTGAAATAATTGAATCTTTTCAAAAGTATGAGCATGTTCTTGCGATCTAAATTGAATTCACCATCATTACATGTATTATTGGAAATTTTATAGTCATATGTTTGCTACGAAATGCTTTGTCAGTTACCTATGGTATATTTTAACAGGTGTATGCACATTTATTCATGTGCTCGCTGTTCAACTTGCTTTTTTTTATTATGTCATTTACTTGGATGTTAAAACTTTCTTTTAGCGTTGGAACATTTTATGATCATTTAGTAAAATTTATATATAAATATATATTATTGCTTGTTTATTTATGGTTCTGTGTATTTGTCATGTATGCATGTTGTGAAGTGTAGTTTTTGAAAAATATGTCACAAATGTTAAATTCCACCAAAAGCTGAATTGAATTGATATTGGGATGCAGGTAATTAGAAAATATCTGCTGTGTATTTTGAGCGTAAACCAAACTAGTGCCAAGAATGGGACCAATACGCTCAGGCTTGCTTAGCCTTTTTGCCATTGTCCAAATTGAATTATCTCCAGTATAAAGGGAGTGAATGCTTTCTCTGTATAACATTAAAATATCCGTCTGATCAAAAATCTACCAATAAGAAACTTTTCATATGTTATGTGACAGACTTTCTGCAAACAGAAGTCCTCAGCTCTGTTCTTGTACATGTTTTTTAATTGTGGTTCAGATGTGTACTTCTCAAAGGAATTCTTCTCATAGGAAGATTATCTGAACATTTAAAAACTATATTCTGCTTTTAGGGGCCTAATATTTTATGCCCCTAAAATTAATATTGAAATTTCTAAAATGTTGAAAAATATGTCATCTGGATTCTGTACAAAAAATATAATCCCCTTTTTCATTTCTGCATTTGCAATTCCTGCATTTTCTTTATTCCTACATTTTTTAATTGGAAGGAATTTCATTCGCAGAGCCCTCTAATTTATTCTTACAAATCATGTAGTAATGTACCATTTTAGATAGATATAAATAACACATTTTGTAATTTTTCTAAACTGTGGTTATACAGCATGATATAATAGCTACACAGGGTATGGCGAAACAGTATACAGCAATATCTGTCGCACTGTCTGAGATGGGTGGTAGTCATACATAGCTTAATGCTTAAATTTGTTATGTGTTATTTATTTATTCATGTTTTTTTTTTTTTTTTTTTTTTTTTTTAATTATGTTATAGCAGTTTATTTCTTTCATTCTTAGGTCCGGAAGTGAAAAATTTGACTTTTCTACGCCAGAAGTTACAGCTAATGTTCCTAAGACAAACCAGGCTTTCCTGAGGTAAGTTGGTTTATTTTTAAAATAGATATTAGCTGTGCATGATATTACAGTTACTTAATTATGGTTAACTAATTATGTATTAATTTAGAAGTCAAGCAACCAAAATCAGCGTTATATTTTCAAATAGTGAATATTTCAAAATATGATGCTGATTTTTGTTGCTTGACTCTCAAATTAATACTTGGTCGGTGTGTTATTGTATCTTAATTAAACTAATTATGGTTCTTTTCTTCTCAGTTCTGATCTGGACATTTCAGTTATTGACTCTGACGTAGAAGGTAGAAATACAAGCTCTCTTTTGGGGTAAATATGTATTTCTCTATGCCAAAATTAAAATGTCATCATTTATGTTTTTCTTTTATGGTGTTACATTATGTTGTTTACATACTGATAGCTATTAAAACTGTTAAATATAATATTGTAGCTATCAAAAAGAGGGGGATGAATTTGATTTGTACCAAATTTGGACGTTTTGCATGAAAGAACTTGAAAATAAAAGATTTTTTTAAAAATATATTCATTGAAATCAGTGAAATTTTCAGTCGGGACACTGAAGCAAATGAAAATATTTTGGGGTTTGATTCTTTTGATGGGAGCCTCATCAATAAGCCTACTATCTTTTTTAAATATTGCTTCTTTTTCATTGTTTTCATGATGTTTTATGTTCCCTTCATGAAAGAGATTTTTAATAATTTAAATTTTGTTAATAAAATATAACAAAATGAAATCTGTGATTATGTGGCTGTTATTTTTTCCATATATATTTATTTGAGGAAAACCACAAATTTTATTATTTTACAGAATTTTTAAGAAAAATATAAGGATAAAATTTTTTAAATAATTCTGATTACTACCTTTGCTTTCCTCTCATAATGTGCCTCAAATTAGAGCAATTAGACAACAAATTTAAGTCGTGATCTTTTTTTTCCAAGTTTTTTTTTTTTAGGCTTAGGAGTATAAATTGCTTATCCCCACAAGACAGTGCATCTTCTTAGTATGCCATCCTAAGGCTCCGTTCACATGATGGTATAAATGTCATAGACGCATAATCATAAGGCACAAAATGTGGGAGTTCCATTCACACCTGCGAGAGAGGGTCTAAGCCATAGCCAATTAGAGAAGCTAAATTTGTGCATGCATGTATGTGTCTACAGCTTTCTCTCTCAATAGGTTTTATGTATATGCTCTGATTGGCCGACTCTTATATCAAGTCGGCACAAAGTTGAAAACTTCAAGCTTAATGCCCAAACTAGTTTTTGTGACATAGCAAGGTCTGACTACAAAGCGTTGTTAGTTGGGAATTATGACATTTATACAACGGCTTGAATAGAGCCTTAGAAAGCCATTTGGTAACTGAGTTATCCACCATGAAAGAGTTATTCTTGCCCCTCTGAATTCAGTGTTTACTGGAACACGAACATTTTATACTCAGGTGTAGAGGCCCTTCATGTGAAACCTCCGGCACACAAAGTAGTGACTAATATTGCACGAGCAAATGACACTGCGAGCATGGAAGCAGCAGCAGTTGTGAAGATGACTCATCTTCTTGTAGTAATATACTGGTAATCCAGTGTATTATTATTGTTAATTTATTTGCTATCTGTTGCCTAAATTTCCTAAACCTAATTGCGAATGGGCTGCCTGCATGGGCGTTTTCATGGTTTTTCCGTGTATATGAGCCATTTCCCTTAGAAAGTCCTCCATGAAAGCATTCCTCCTCTTAGGAAGATCAAGTGCTTTGCTGTCATCAAATAAGCCAAATTTAAACCTAATTTGTAATATTTATATATATTAATTATATATATGTATATATATTGTATATATATATATTTTAGCTTGGAGTCTGAGCCTCTTCAGGAGAACCTTAATGATGAATTTCTGTGTCCTGATTCACCTTTAATTATCGAAAGGGAAGATCGACGAAAGGCAAATCCATTACCATCTGGCAGCAGAACAATTTGCAATATGTCTTTTGTAATAGTGCAGGCTAGGACATTAGAGCAACATTCCCTAAATTGTAAATTTGGAGGATCATTTATTTTTAACAAAGTGATTCGACGTGGTCTTGTCACTACATATAACTATGTATGTGATAAAATTTTATGTGGGGAAATGGCAACAATTTGTTCTGATATGGAGAAAAGCAGCCTAAATCAGCTTGCAGTATTAGGTGCGTTATCTACTGGCAGTGGATTTTCACAAGAGGAGGAAAAGTTTAGCATCATGGAAATTCCGTATATGAGCAACTCGACCTTTGCTTCTTGTGAGCGAACTACTGGCAAAATAATACAGGGATGTGCACAGGAAACTATGTGTGCTGCTATAGAAGAGGAGAAAAGGCAGGCAGAACTTCGCAATGATAAAGATAATGATGGTTATCACTGTATAACTGTCATTGTTGATGGAGGTTGGTGTAAAAGAAGCTATGGGCATGGTTACAATGCTTCAAGTGGCATATCTGTTATTATAGGCATGGTCACCCAGAAAATTTTGTTTGTTGGAATTCGCAACAAAGTGTGCCTTATATGCAGTGCTATTGAAGATGGCAAGATGCCAAATAAAGTGCACCTTTGTTGGCGAAATTGGAATGGGCCTTCTACAGGTATGGAAAGCAGTGCCATTGTGGAAGGTCTGAATTATCTCCAGTGTGTTCACAAAATACGTTGTACTCGACTTGTTGGAGATGGAGATGCTAACACAATGGCCAAAGTGAAAGAAAGCGTTTCATATGGAGGACGGGTGATCAAAGTAGAATGTGCTAACCATGCTGTTCGAAGATATCGCAGAGCTCTTGAGAAACTTCAGCAAAATACTGCGCGCTTCCCCGGGGCTAAAGGAATTGCTGCCCGTAAATTGCTGAAAATTAAAATGCCACTGTTAGTCAGAGGTGCTAGAGTAGCTATAAAAGCTCATGCTTTACCTAGCCATTATCAGCACACACAAGAAGCTATTGATGCATTAGTATCTGACTTGAGAAATGGGCCACATCATATATTTGGCAAGCATGATGCTTGTAGTGCTTTTTGTGCAAAGAAAGGTGCAGAGTTGGACAGCACATACAATGAAATTTTTTCCTCGGGTATGTTGCAAGCTATTGAAGCAGAAGTGGGAAGAGTACTGATATCGTGTAGCAGTACTCTTATTTGGAATGCCACAAATAATCCTGCTGAAAGCTTCATGAGTCAACTGTGTAAAACATCTGGTGGAAAAAGAGTTGATTTTTCCAAAGCTGGTGGCATGAACAGGCGTGCGAGTATTGCTGTCATGGCCTATCAAAATCCAGCACAGCAGTGGCAAAAAAATGCACAAAAAGCTGTAACAGGAAGTAGCCCCAGGACTCCAACTTTGAAATTCTTAGCTTCCAGAAATAAGCGCCATGTAAAACGTCTTGAGAGACGTAGACTTTTTGACACTGAGAAGAAAAAGAGAAATATGAGGAAAGCAGGACATATTCAGCAAGGTGGGGATATTTCTTATGGTGATTTTCCTGAGAAACCAGACCTATCAGATGAAGCATATGAATTGGCAGCTAAAAATTTTTTTTATATCAATTGAAGTTCCAAAAAAAGATTCTCTTGAGGCCGTAACACGTGGACAGTCATCATCTGAAAGATGGCGTCATGAAAGATCAAGAAGAATATCATCATCCTTTTTCAAAGATGTTGCTGATAGGCGTCCAACAACACTCAGTGCTGCTTTAGTGAAACGTATCATATATAATGATAACGTTTCAACTAAAGCATTAAAGTATGGCTTGGCTAACGAAGCAGTAGCCTTAAATCAATACAAGGAAAAGCACATGGGAAAAAACATCAGACGTTGTGGCCTTTTTATTGATCCTAAATATCCCTTTCTTTGTACTTCGCCAGATGGATTGATAGACGAAGATGGATTACTTGAAATAAAATGTCCTTATACAGCCAGATTCTCAGCAGACTTGTCAGACTTTTTCAGCAAGCCTAATTCTGTTGGTCTTCGGATGGATGCTGATAATAATCTTTATTTACCGAAAAGCCACAAATATTATTTTCAAATTCAAGGGCAGTTAGCCATAACAGAGAGGAATTGGTGTGTGATTTATATATATGGTGCAGAGAAGATGCAATCACATTAAGAATACCCGAAGACAAAACTTTCTGGATCAGTTTAGTTCCAAAACTCGAAAAATTTTACGTGAATTGTATTCTTCCTGAGCTTGTTGATCCAAGAGCACCAAGAAAAATGTCTCTTAGAGAACCGAAGTATATTGTTGATGCTAGAGCACAGAATGAGAAACAAAAAACAGGCCACTGCTTCTGTAAAACAAACACAAGAAAAAAGAGAAATTGAAATTTCAGAAGCAGATAAAATTATTTCATCTCCTAGAAAGAATGCAGGAGAGAAAAGAATCAGGAAACCAAAAATTATTTTTGATTTGTAATCAGTAACAAGCCAAGCCAGCACACCGTAACATTTTCTACGTCTGAATAAAAACTATGCCTGCAAACAAAGCATTATGATTAAATCCATACCTAATTAGAATATTACCACCATTTCTCTAAAAAAAATATGTTCAAAAAGTCTCTGCTTTCAGCAGTAATAGATACGTCTGATCAATTCTGCCATAATTCTGTAATCAATACTTGAAGCTAGAATCTCCTGTGCTGCAACTGCTTTCAGGATGAGTGCTTTCATGATGATGAATGAAGTAAAATGGGGAAAAAAAAAAAAGGCGGCAGATCGTTCACCATTTGAAAAAGGGGCTTATTGTTGGTGCACATTTAGTGGGGGCATCGATTTCGAATCCTTCTCTAAAAAATGTAACTGCAGTTCGAGCATAGTTTTCAAAGACAGTGATCGGCGGTATCTCCGATGAATTGTACGGCAGAACACGGATTCAACTATCACAAATCGTCAACCAAGGCTCTTCCCAACAAATTTCAGCTAGAACTATGCGCAGCGAATTGCAGAGGGATAGGAATGCATAGTTTTGGTGCCTGTAAGAAAATCACTCAGTTCTGCCGACATGCAAGACTTCATTTTCAGTGGTGTCGAGAAAAGACACTGGACATCTGAGGATTGGAAATGGGTAATGTGGTGGGATATTACATTATGTATTACATATTAAACATAAGTTATGGGTTACCTCATAACTACAGAAGGTTCCTGTTCGCTGCCAGAAAAGGTTGAAGTAATCTGCAATGTAAATTACCGACAATACATGAGCTTTGTTCATTTATGGGCATGATAAAATTTTATCGATGCTTTTTGAAAAATGCTGCAGAAACTCAAGGAGTCATACACGAAATGTTAAAGGGTGATAAAAAAAGATCATTGTAAAGTTCCATGCACAGATGAAGGTGTTTAGTGTATTTAATTATGGCAAAGCACACTAGGGCTATCTGCCTAAGAGAAGGGATGCCTTCGTGGAGGACTTTCTAAGGGAAACTGGCTCATATACACGTTACACATGGGGAAAACCACGAAAACGCCCATGCAGCCAGTACGTTCGCGGGATTCGAACCTCGGACCGAACTACCAGTGTTCAGCGATTTTACCGCTCTGCCGCTGGTAGGCCTGCACAGATGAAGGAATTCACCAGTTTGAGAAGTGCAAATCTGATTTAGTCAATGGTGCCCTTTTGTGTTTCCCAATGGATTACCCTTTGTGTGCAGATACATCAGACTTTCCTATAGGATCAGTATTGCAGCAATTGGAAGAACAAGAACAAGACTGAAAACCTATTGTGTTCTACTCTAAAACATTAAATAATGCACAGAAGGTTTATAGTACCTATGACAGAGAATTCTTAGGAATATATCTTTCTGTCAAGCATTTTAAACATGTATCGGAAGGACGCAAATTCATCATACTTACTGATCACAAGCCACTGTCATATGCATAGAAGCAAAAGAATGGGAAGGCATAACCCAGACAACAACACCAACTTCAGTATATATCGGAATTTTCAACTGATATTCAGCATATTGATGCCAAAGAAAATTTAGTTGCAGTTGAAGTAGTCTCAGTTACTGGCTATGAAGCAGTAGCAGATGCTCAAGAATATAATGAAGAATTGCAACATTTAATGACAGGTAGTGCTTCACTGAAATTTAAATCATCTACATTAGCATTTTGGAAAACATTAAGATGTGACAGCTCAACAACCAGTATCAGGCCTTTTATTTCAAAGCAATTTAGACAACAAATGTTTCATCAAATTCATAATTTTGCTCCTCTGGTATCAGGACAACTGTCAACGAGATGACTGAAAAATTTATCTTTCCAAATATAAAGAAAGAAATTCACGAATAGACTTAAAGTCCTGTTAATTGTCAAAGGAGCAAAGTCAACAGGCATACAAAATCTAAAATAGCCGAGTTCCAAGCACCTCATGCTAGATTAAGTATTGTGCAAGTTGACCTGATTGGGCCATTACCACCATCTGCTGGTAGGACGTATTATCTGACATTTATTGACCATTTTTCCTGTTAGGGAGAAGTAGTTTCTTTACCAGATATCACAAGAGAAATGGTTGTCAAAGCATTTTACAATCATTGGATTAGCAGATTTGTTGTGCCTAGTTCCATAATCTCAGATCAAGGAAGACAGTTTGAGTCGCAGCCTTTCAAGAGCCTTGCAAAAGTATGTGGTGCTAAAGTTTTACGTTCCACTCCATACCACCCACATTGCAGTGGGAAAATTGAGCAGTTTCTCAGAACTTAAAAAAATGCAATAAAGGCTCACAGCAACATCAGATGGACAGAAATCCTTCTAGGATTCAGAGTTGCAATATGTCCTGATACTAATCACTCTGTAGCTCAAATGGTATATTTTATGCAAATAAGGTTACCATGTGAGTTTTTCGACTACCTACCACTAAAACTAAACCTGAACCATTTGTAACAAATTTACTGTCTTTTATGGATCAGCACCAGTTTATCAACTGCTAACAAACATAAAATATTTATGCATAAAGACTTGAGATCATGTTCTCATGTGTTTGTGAGAACTGATCGTGTGAAAAAGGCACTTGAATTTGCTTATTGAGGGACCATTTTTTTGTGGTGAAAAAATATGATAAATATTTCCGAGTCTTAATTAAGGACAGACAAGTTAACATTTCATTGACAGACTGAAACCAGCTTATTTGTTACTTTCGAACAAATTACTAGAAACAGTGACTAAAAATAAAAAACCATTTCACATTTCATGTACCCAAAATTCTGATATTGTACCTAACGTCAAATCTATTATTCTAGATGGTATGAAAATCAGAAAATGTGTTGGATTTAAGGACTAATGTTTTGTATATTTTGCTATACTTCATCATCTTCTAAATATTAGTAAATATATATCTGCATTAGTGATAATCAGCTGTGAGCACATAGTGCACCATCTGCAACTCATTTGGGTATAAACTATGCTAGTGATTATAATGTCCTTGCTTTTTCCCATATGCCATATGTTGCATGAAATTTTGTTATATGAATCTAGCTTCCTGTGAGGAATTTCTGTGATCTTTCTAGTATGTATGGTCAAGAATTAGGCTTGTGATATACTGTCATGATTTTGCCCACATGTTCCCTGAATATACTACCATTTCCTTAGGAAGACTTCCAAGAAGAATACTGTTGTGAGTTCTAAGCCTAACTATGGTTTGGAACTGTTTATAATGAATTATTGGGATTCTGCACATGTAATGTGGATGCAATTCTATTTCCATTTAGAAGATTTTCTGCAAAGGCAATGCTTTAGCTGTGAGATAATTCTGTTTTGGAAATAAAACTGATATTTATTTAGATTTGTGGTATTTATAAGGCAGTTTATCAATAGCAGGTAGCATCTTGCCTCTTTGCTTTGATCAGGGCCTGTGCAACCAGTGGTAGTCAAAATTTTATAATTTAGCAGAGGGCACTGAGCAGCAAAATTTAGAGGCAAAAAAATGTTCAGAACTTACGAAGACATCAGCCAGCAGAATTTAGGATATGCAGAGATTGCACTGAGTGGCAATAGTGCCATATGTTACATTTGCTATCTGCATTATTAATTTGTGAAACAATTTCAGCTGCTGTTTGAAAATGCATTTTTCTGTTAGAAATTTGTATTTCTTGCAATTTCTTTTTTTTGGGGGGGGGGGTCGAGAATATGGTGTTAAAAATATTTTATCATTTTCTTTTTTTTTTTTTTTTCAGGTGAAAATTTTGTGCATGATTTGGCTTTCATTGAGACGTCTCTGGGTCAGGAGTTACTAAGGAAGAGAAACTTACATGCAGGTTGAAGCATGCAGTGTCAAATGTATAAGGAATATAAAAGATGCTGTATATTAGTATAAGTTTGAATAACCATAATAAAAAAATTTCTTGAAAATTGTGTTTTTTCTGCGAGTTATTAAAATTGGAAATAATTAATTACAATATTTATGAAAATTTTCGAAAATAAAAATACAAGTAGTATTTAAAAAGTACTGCAAAACTCATTTTTAAGTAGAAAAATTATTCTCAGATGAAATTCTTTATGCAAAAGGATTCGATTATGCAAAAGGACTTTTTTAGTATTTGAAAGGTTCATTTGAACCCAACAACTGAAACTAACGTATCCCCAGTTTATTGATACCAACCATTTTGTTGGTATCAATGAACCCACTACTTTCTAAAAGCATTTCTGTCAATTACTAAGGGCTAATGAACAAGTGTTGAATTCTCAAGATGAATGTTGCCGAAACAGAAAAAAGTGTACTTCAGAACATTCTGCAGTAGCTCAAACAAAGTCACGGACCTCATCTATACTGTAGTCAGAGAGAAATTATTCCCCTTCCTTTTCTTTCAAAAGCTGAGTTTCCAAACGCACAACGGGAGGCCGTTGCTAAAAGCTGTGGAACCAGTTTTATAGCTATTTTTAGCAACTTGTGAGCTGTTTTTCAGATAACACAGTAAATCTCGGGGAGGGGGAATTTGAAATCATGATCACTGCCGGTACGGCAGAATTTACGTACAGCAAAATTGTAAAATTCAGCGAAGCATCAAGCAATAAAATTTTAGAATTTTGTGGGAAGGGCACTTGACAACAGAATTTATTGCGTACAAAGTCAGCAAAATGCATAGCGCCGTACCTGATTCATGATACAGCAGTATTCATTACCAATAGCAAACTTGTTTGAGGATAAGTTCGAAAAAATGTTTTCTAGTTGTTACCTAAAATCGGTAAACAATAATCTTTGAAAGATTATTCGATTATATCGTTACTAATATGGTAAAAATTTGAAAAGCAATCAGAAGCCGTATCTCTAGGGTCTTCAAGTCACGATTTGTTTTTATTTGTTCGAATATGATATTTATATCTCTCTTCCTACAAGTATGTATCTTCGTACGTATAAAGTATCAAAAATAATAAAAGTAATTAATAAATTTTCTCTAGTTGCCCTGAAAACTACATCTGAATATAAAGATAAGAAAGACATCAGTAAATTGCTGTTGTTATTTGCTGATCATAATGGTAATCAACCGAACATGATCACATATACCGTCTTCAAAACTTTGATTTTTATCAAGCTTCATATAAATACTAGGTTTTTGTTAGTCACGTAATTTGACATCCTAAATTTAAGATGACAGATGAAATAATGACTAGTTCTGAATTAGCTCACTCAGGAAGTAAAATTTTCTCCTTCCCGTCAATATAGCATATTTATAGCTCCCAATGATGGCGATCACTAACTAAATATGTTATGGATTAGAACCCTATTGCACTCCATAAGTTTTTCTTTATTCGCTTTATGTGCATGCATGCATGCTTGGTTGTGGAAGAAATTAAAAAGCCCCCCCTTTTTTTTTTTTTTTTACTTAGGTTATTCGAATGTATACGCCAGACATTTATTTGTTGAACTGTAGTTATAATTTGGAACGTGGTGCTAGAGCCGTTGGAGCCGAACCGAACGTCAGTTTGTTTAGAATTATAGAGTTTGATTACGCCAAAGCAGGTGAATTTGGAAAACACCAAAATCGGTCATGCATCCAACTCGTTATCGAGGCTTGAACTCCGGATGAACTACCAGTGTTCGGCGGCTCGCTTGCTAGAACTGCGTTAGGCTCTTTGAATGTAGCAAAGCCACGAGGGTTACCTTCTTAAGATGGCAGGCCTTCGTGGAGTCATTTTCTGAAGGCTTAGATTAGGTTATTATGGCAAAGCACAGTAGGATGCCTTCATGTTGAACTTTCTTAGAGAAATTGACAACCCATACACGTTACACATACAGAAAATTATGAAAACGTCCATGCAGCCGGCCCGTTAGCCTTTATTCGAATCCAGGTCGAAACTACCAGTGTTCAGCGATTTAATTCCTCTACCGCGGGAGGGCCTAATTGCTGAAGGGAACTGGCTTGTATTCATGTTACACACGGTGTGAAAACAAACAATGCAACCAGCTGATTCGTCTGGCATCGAACCCAAACCAGTTCGAACTTCCAGTATTCAGTAGTTTTAACCACTCGGCCACTGGTGGCGTGTGGTAGGAGCCACAGATAATGTACTGAGTAGCAAAAATCCCTAATAGTGGCCCTGGTTACTAGTAGGATTGTAAGTATATTGGTAATCATCCAATCTACAGCAAGGAAATTTCGGAGCTTAATTGTAAAGTCAAATGCGACACTCCGATAAACGTGGTATATGTAGAGATGGAAAAATTTATTATTTAAAATACTTGTATTTATTAGTAAACATTTATAAAAATTTATTCTTAATTTAGCGTTTAAGAATTCTAAGAGAGTTATCTGAGTATTTTTTCCTCCTTTGGTAATCCAATAAAATTGAGTAAATTTATGTTCTGTAATATCTTTGCGTGTTATATACATAGTTTTTTTTTTTTTTTTTTTCTTTCAAAGTTAGACAAGTTTACACAAACAATATAGGTCGAAAAGGGAGCTGGTCTGCGCCCGGTGAGCCTGTCGGCAGCGTCGCAAAGCGTAATTTGACTAACGAAAAGATCATGCTTTGGATCTGGATCTGGATCTGGATAGTCACTTGTGTTGAAAAATAAATTTATTTCAACAACATAGGCCAAAAATTTAGTTGATCTGCGCCCGTGAGTCCGTCGGCAGCATCGTAAAGCGTAATTTGACTAACAAAAAGATCATTCTTTTGTATTTGGTGGGATTGCCGTGGTATTAATCACAAATAGTATATGGAAAAAGGTAAAACCCTTGACAGTAAAGGATACAACGAGATGCTAGTGCATGTTGACGCTGCTATCAAGGAAAAGAGTCGAATTGAGTTCCGGCGCAGAAAGGTAACGTTCCATCAAGATAATACCATACGTGTCTGCATTCACCGGCTAGCCTCTGTACGGACTCGAAAGGGATCTTTCACCACATCCACCATATAACCCCGACATCGCACGTTCGGACTTTCAGCTACATCTTGCTGGTCCTATCTTCACTTCTGCACAAGACGTCCGAAATGAGGTTGACCTGTGTTTGGACTCGGGCCACCAAGTTTCCGAGCCGAAGGTTTTGAAAAACTACCAAAAAATTGGCAGAAAAGCATAGATTTTTGGTAGTGATTACTATCCGCACTAAAGGTACTGACTGCTTTTTTTTTCATAACTTTATGAAGAACGTTCGTGCTTAAAATTTTCGTTACAACCATTAAATTCTGTAATTTATGAATTCCTTCCCACTTCTCATGTATTTATCAACTGTTCTTTATGAACCTGATATTCCTACAATTATCAGCTGTACTTTATAAATCTGATATGTAGAAACGCAATTTGATTTTATGCATTTCAGTATCAAGTGAAATCTTTAAACTAATCGTTCATTATAACACTTTATGTTGTTTTCATTCAAAGCTGAACTCAGATAATGTGCCGAGGTTGAACTACCAGTAATAGGCGACTTTAGCGCTCGCCCGCTAGAATTTAGAGAGAGGAACTGAGTGCTAGAATTGGGTTAGGCTCTTTGAATATAGCAAAGCCACGAGGTGGCAGATAGCAGATGCTTTCGTGGAGGAAGTTTCTGAAGGCTTAGTTTTAGTTTATAGCAAAGCTCCCCATACACGTTACACACGGGGAAGATTATGAAAACGCCCATGTAGCCAGCCCGTTCGCCTTGATTCGAACCCAGGTCGGAACTACCAGTGTTCAGCGATTTAACCGCTCGGCCGCGGGTGAGCCTAATTGCTGAAGGAAACTGGGTCGTATTCATGTTGCACAACAGGAAAACAAACCATGCAGCCAGCTGGTTCGCCTGGGATCGAACCGAAACCAGGTCGAACTTCCAGTAATCAATATTCTTAACCACTCAGCCACTGGCGGCGCGTGGCAGTGGCAGAAGTAAGAGCCACAGATATTGTAGTGAGCAGCAAAAACCTCTAATACTGGCTCTGGTTACTAGTAGAATTATATATTGGTAATAATCCAATCTACAGCAATGAAATTTCGGAGCATAATTGTGAAGTTAAATACGACACTCCGATAAACGTGATAAAGATGAAAAATTTTTTAAAAAAGGAAACTTACTATGCAAATACATGTATTCATTAGTAAACATTTTATAAAATTTATTCTTAATTTAGCGTTTATGAATTCTCAGAGAATTATCTCATCGAATTATTTTTTTTCTCCTCTGGTAATCCAATATAATTGAGATTAAATTTATGTGCTGTTAATATCTTTGCCTGTTATGTACATAGTTTTTTTTTTTTTTTTCTTTTCCGTTCAAAGTTAGATAAAACTGAACGTACGTTACACTGAAATTACTTTGTCTAGAAAGTAAGCGCTTGAGTAGAAACAGATGTTGGGTTTTATTTTTAGAAGACATGAGATCGCTTTCTGTAAAGTAATGTTATAAAATTTTGAATTTGAAATAATCGTACTTCGTTTTTAGTAGCGCAGAATGATAAAGATTTAATGAGAATATAGCAAAGCATCTTTTTAGAGACGCTGTTATAATTTTGCTATTTTATTTTTTTATGGTAGGTCAAGGAAAAAGGCAGGCTGCTAAATACGGTAACAGCACATTACTCTGTTTCATATATAGCGAATCCGCTCTGAAATGAGGCACGAAGCGGTAAAGTAGCTGAACACCAGTATTTCGGTCCGAGTTTCGAATCCCGCGAAGGGACTGGTTGCGCTTTCGTGGTTTTACCCTGTGTAACGTGTCTAGGAGCCAATTTCCCTTAGAAAGTCTTCCACGAAGGCATCCTTTCCCTTAGGCAGATAGATCGTACCGGTGTTTATTTATCAACAGTACTGGTTATTTTTAAAAATGATCATCCTAGAAAGGTGATTGCCAAAAAGTATTCACTTCGCATATTTATACGTTATGCATGAATATACTCTTTTTAGTCAATCTAATATATATAAATTACTAATG